GGGGGGGGGGAGTTATTCTCCCCAGCTAAATGAAGATTTACTGCTTCATCTCACTTAAAGATACTATCTGAATTTGATGCTATTTGATCTGCTTTTTAATACAAAATTGCAAGTTCTTAAAAATTCCTTTTATATTTTCAGACTTCAGTGGTTGTTAGAGAAGTTGGGAGCTGTTATTCTGCACAGTACAAACCTCTTGAAAATGCAAACTGCAACAATTAAGAGCTGGCTAAGTTAGCTGCTGTATGGTTAATAGATGAGTTCATTTAAATGTGATTTTCACATTTCTCTAGAAGCCAGGTCTACCACTATGGTGAAAGAGATACATAACCATCAAATTGTTTGTATCTCTGGAAAATGCAATTTTCTGATGGCTGGCCCTGTGGACTTTATTCTGTGCCTTATCCTTTTTTGTGGGAATGACTCTGGTGCCTAAAATGCCACCTGTGAAATCCTGCGAGCACAGAGTAGTTAGTTTTTCTCCTCACCTGTTCCTGCATCTAGAATTATCATCCTCCTGCGCAGGCTTCCTTCCTGTAGAAATTCTCTCCACTCTGAGCAGTCCACAGAACCTCAGTAAGCACAGATGGATGTACCCTGTGACCTGAGCTCCTGTACTTATCTCCTAACACAAATGTTCTTATTGTGCCTGCCGCTTCATGCAGGGTTTTTCATCTTGGGCATTTGCGTAAATGTCAAAATGCCAATCCAACCCTATTTACGGTGAAAACATTTTGTCATCATTTGAGAAATAATGTGAACTTATTTTTTGCTTGTTTTTCTTTTTTTCTTTTTATGGTGACAGCAGGAAGACTGCTTCCTTTGTAAACTTTTCAGTCTCTAACAGTCCTACAGGGAGCACTGGTGTTACCCATCCAAATCCCTGCTCTGCAGACCCGGGGATAGTTTGATATCTTTCAAATACTTCTCTAATATGGGAGGGAGGAAGAGTAGGAGGGAGGTAAAATTCGTTCTGTGTGAATCTCACAGAAGGGGTGAATACTGGTTTAGGTAAAAGGTAATAATGTGAAATTGTGATTAGATTTTTTTTTTCTTTAAATTGAAAACTGTAAAAGAATTTCCAGGGCTGGTTATGAAGACTTAAACGCTTTACCTACAAAATGAATGAAATGCAATTCAGTCTCCATGTTCATTACTTAGATTCATTTGAATCTACCAAGACAGGAGCCAATTAGCATTACAGATGATACAAGCAAATGAGACTACCAAAGTGTTCCATGTTCATCAATGAAACATTCTGACTTAGTAATGATCTCCTGTCACTCCTAGTGGTGCAACTTCACAGCCAGTTTTATACAGGTGGGAAGCTTTCTGATTCTGTTATAATCTCCCTGAAATCTCTAGCTTTCAGGTTTCTTGGCATTAATGGACTCATAAGTATGTCTAGGAATGGAAAAGTTTCAGAAAGTTTTCAGGTGGCTCATTATACAATTATTACAATGACTTCTGATAGTATGAATAAAAGAGCTCTGCTTTTTCAAGATCAGAAATAATTGTTCATTTAAGCTTTAAGCATTTAAGTGTCTTACTACTAAATATATACAACTCAAATTTTCTGCTTATTTTCTTTTAAAGACCTTCAAGTGATCAATTATTATTTCTGTATTGAATAATTTCTACCTCTTCCTAATGATGTTAAGGATGGACAACCGGGTTTCCTTTTATGCTACTAGGCTACTTCTATCCTTTGTTAAAAATCCATTTTTACTTAACATAGCTTAGAGTGACGTTCTCATTAAGTAAGTACTTCCATTCCAGTTATATCTTGCTGCCACTTTATGGCTTTTCTGTAGAGGTGTAGAAGCAGCACAATCTTTGTGTTTTGTGAATGAGCAGCTATGTAAAACACTGACAAAGACTATCCTGTTATCATCTGTTACGAGGTGGCTTCCATTTTGTTAATGCGCACAATATAATTTAGATGGTGGTGTATTTTGATGTTTTGAGGAGTTTCATGATACCATGAGGAAAGCTTGTGCTACCTAAACTTATGCATCAGTATTTTTATGTTTTGTTCTCTGCTTTTGTTAATGAAGCTGAGTTATTTATTTTTTCTCTTTCCCACTGTTTAATTATTGCTATTTCTGTTCAGTATAAAGTCTTGAAGTGGATTTGTTTTTTCAGTGATAGAATGAGGACATCAGTAGAAAATGGAACAGACTTGGGCTTTTTTGTCTATGGACTTACTACGAATGGCCATATTTTTGCTATGGAAGTTGTCTATCTGGAGTTTAAAATGATGTTATAAGAACATATGGCACTTAATTTTTTTTACGCTGTTAAATGGAAATCTGAATATCTGAGTATCTATGGAAGGGGCATTGTATGAAGCACTAAGCAGTAGAGCACCTACAGATTCAGCAACTGATAGAATGTTATCTGACAACTTAAAATCCTGAGACCAAATAAAAATCTAACTTTAGATTCTTATTCCTGTGTGCTGCTTGAGCAGTCTTTGTTAAATTGTTCTGCACATAATTCAGTGTTCATACTTTTAATTTTGAAGGCTTATTGCCAAAGAATTACTCACACAGTTAAAGGAAAGAATAATTGGGCGTAGTTCCTAAGAAAGCTGCATAATTGTACTTGCCTTTCCAGGCTTTTCAACAAATGAAAAAGAGCATAATTTTAAAAAATACTTTTTCTAAAAAAGAACCTTTTCAAATGATTTCTCATGTGTATTACTGTGATTTCTTTTAATGACTGTTGTAGCAAGGTTGATACATTGCTTTCACTCTGTTTTAGCTGTTTTTATATTTAAGTATCTTTCTTACTGTATATTATGTTGTGAATTTTTGGCCTTGATTGGTCATGTTTAGCATTTTAGGTGGAAATGATGTATCAAAGTTGGAAAGCAAATTTATTTAAGAGAATTATCACAACTGGTGTTTTTTATAATTACTGTGATTTCAAAGTATATGCAATGAGCAAAGCACCATAATGAAACCATTCCTCACAAAAACTGGAAGATGTTCACTGGGGACCATACTTATCCTAATAATGAAGGACCCATCACTGGACAACCATTTTTGCTGTGATTGAAAGTTCATTGATACTGTTTTGATTATCACGGTATGACAAGGTATCTTAAACTTCACTATTCCACTTAGTTTAATTATTCTTTATGTATTTGTGGCTGACTTCCTAATTAATATTTTTAGAACTATGCAGTAGGCAGTCAGAAGTAAATTTCAGTGAACAACCCTCAAAATACTTGCTTTCTCTCTTAGAGGGCTATGACTGTTATTTATATCCAATAAAGGTTAAAGCAACTCCACGTTCTGTCTGAGGACTGGATTATGGCTAGCACTGAAAAGTACTAAGGTGGAGCACTGTCTAACCTTTAAAAATTCTCTCCTGCAGTTTAACCCATTGCTAACTATAAATTGCAATGTATAAGTATCTCCTTTTTATAGCAGAAGCAGCCTGCTGTGTATTTAGACAGTTATATACTTCTCTTGACTTCTCTTTCTTGTGAAACAATCCCAGTTAGCTCAATCATTTTCTTTAGGTTGCTCTTTCCAGATCTCTAGCTAGAATAAGAGAAAAAATACTTGGAATATCAATCAGATGTCCCAACACACTCAACAAGTATTCATTAGAATACAATTGATGCTAGAAATATGAAATGAATGTGCAATTATTAAATATCGTTGGCTTCATTGAATTTAAATTATTCTTAGAGAGAACCTGCAGCATATCAACAGAGGTACTTATTGAGGGAAAAGTAACAAAATAAAGAAAGTGGTTTCTCTCCATTAAGCATGTTGGAAGAGTTAAAATATTTGAAATAGTGAAGAAGTATTAAGTAAATAAAGACAGAACTTATGTTTTAATGGGAGTATTTAACTCACATCTCTTGTTTCTGTTTAAAAAAGATGATTGAAAAAAGACACTCAGTCACAAAGACAAAGCTTAAAGCATTCCTGAAGCTCCTCATTTCTTGTAAATTTCTTGTAAAAAAAAAAATATATATATATATATATATATATATAAACAAACAAACAAAAAAACAGGTAGAAGCAAGGTATGAAACAACCTTGAGGGAAAAGAAAACAACTAATCAGTGATGCGTATAGATGAAGATGAAATAAAAATGCAATACAGAAAATTCCATGTTGGCTGAGATTAGATATTGCTTTCAAAGGCTTCATAAAATTGAAGCCATTAGCTTATATTTGCAGTTAAGCAGTGGAATTGTGAGGCTAAACAGTTATAAAATTGTAAATTATTCTCTGACAGGTAACTTTAGAAGTTGTAGGAAAATGTCTCAATTTGAAATGAATGTTTGAAGAAACCTTAAAAAAAAAAAAAAAAAAAAAAAAAAACAATAACAACAACTGAGAGTAATAAAGCTGCAGAGATATGTGGGCATTTGTGTCAGAGACTATGCTTGCAATTGGAAGGCAGCCATTTTTTCTCAGAAATTTACCATCAGGAATTTTGTAACTTTAGTTCTACTAACATATTGCTGCTTCTCTTCATAGAATCTGAGTTTCTTTCATTTGTTAGGTGTTTTCCAGTGATTGCTATTTACTGAGAAATCAAAATTACATATAAATGGTTACTAGTGCACGCTCTGATGAAAAATCTTTTTTTCCAAAGAAGTATTCTTCTGATAACAGGGGATAAATGAAAACTTTCAGCGTTTGCTTTTGCTAACGTGATGGGGCTTTTAAATTGCCATTTAAGTGACATGTACTGCTAGAGATTTTTTTTCGGGGACTGTAAGAACATCACTCTCAGTGGCAATGGCACTGCCAGCACTGATGACATGAGGCAAGGTAGACCTGTGACAGCTGTAGGGTGAGGGATTTTTTGAAGTAGGATATGCTTTTTTTTGAGTTGGCCAGTGTTGTTTGGGAAAGGAGTCAATTTTTACTAAGTATGCTATAGGTACAGAATGCACACATTAGTATCATGTTCCTCATTGAACCTGCAAATATAGTAATACATTGCACTTTTCTTTTCTTTCCTAGGTAGGTCAGCAAGGACTAGTGCCAAATGCAGGAAGAGGAGGAGTCATTTTGTCCAGTAAGGAAGTTTGAGCTTTATGAAGATAAGAATGATAATTGTAGTTTATTGCACTGTGAGAGCCTGAAAACCACTTCTGGTGCCAGAAAAATACTGATGAAATTATCTTGAACTTCATCATAATAAGAAGTGAAACAGTCATGTATTAACTATTCTATACTGAAATATTTTTTGCTAATGACTGGAGTAATATCACACAAGATAACTAATAAAGTAGTGAAAGAGTTATCATATTCCTATTGAAAAAACAGTATTATAGTCTTTTTTCACTTCTCAAAAGTTCACACTGAACACATGATCTGAACTATTATACCTGTTTTCAAACTAAAAAATACTACACAAAGCCAGTAAGTATTAAAATAGGAATCTTAGTCATATTTTGATATGTTAGAAACTTTAGAGCTGATGGACCTATTCAACTGAAATATCAACACTTCAACAGCAAATATCAGTCAGAAGTTGAATTGTTTCAGAAACTATAAACATAATAGAAATCCTTGTGATGAAAAGTTAATTTGATGAAACTCATACAACGTGCACAGAATGGAAAAGCATAAATAATCCTATATTACTGCTCAGAGATAACTGATTTTATTTTTTTCTCCAAGCAAAGAGAGGAGGCTGTGTTCTTCTATGGGAGTGACAATACAAAATAAAAACCCAGAAAAATATCAAGGTCATAGTAACTGAAGTAATAAAAATGCCTCCAAACTGGAAGTATTTTGAAGGGCCTTTTTTTAAGACTGTATTTGTTCTTGTGGCAATACAAGAGTTGCTTAACAGCTGGGGTGGGGTATTTTGGAAAAGTATCAGTTTATGACTGAAAGTCACTGGGATTTATACTTCAGTCTGACAAGAAAGCCACTTGGGGCTTATGGAAAGCTCTACGGTCTCAGATGAGGAAGAGGATTAATTTCAATGTTGAAATTTTAACCCAATTTGAATCCTTTTGGTTTGACCTATTGTAGGGGAAGAAAAATTTGTAACCATTTCCAGAAAACATCAATGAAAGAAGGTGACTACTTACTGAAGAAATACTGAAGTTGTGTTTGTATTTCAAAGAATGAAGCTTTCCCTTCCAGCGTGGGGCACTTAAGTGTGGAAAATACAGTCATAGCAGAAGCTTATATTAGCACAAAGGTGCAGAACTGTTTCACTTCTTTGGATAATCCTTCATGCAATTGTGGGTTTTGTGCAGCAAGCAGGAGTAATATAATAAAACCTTTTCTTAGCAGCAGAAGATAAGAGAATGAAGCAGATTCATTGCAAACAATTTAGTTCTTCTTAAATACATTAACATCAATTGTTGATGTACTGCTGCAGTCCACCCAGATGGCTGAAGCAGGCTTAATTTTTTTTTTTTTTTTTTTTTTTTAGAAATTGTGCCAAGATTTTCATAAAGTAAATTAAATCCTGGAGATGTTCCAGAAGACAATCAAAGTTTGGCTATGTGACCATCAGCAACAATAGTGGTGAATATAGAGTGAGTTAATACAGTACAAATGATATCCCTTTATTTACAGGGTGGGAAGAGAATGTTTACTTGAAAATAGTCTTGTTCTGTAGATTCTAATAACAAACCAAAAAAAAAACCTCATAGTGGTTTAGTATACGTCATGTATGTTCCTTGAACTCACGTTCTGGTTTCATTTCATCCAAATGGAATCCAGGTTAATAACACTGAAATTATTTCAAGGTGTGAACCATTGTGAATTCTGTAGTGGGAATGATGAAGGAGGCAGGCTCCTTGTCATCAAGATGGAAAAGTGGACACAATAGTAAACGCAACATGCTGATATCTGTGGTGCCCTTAGACACCTCTTTCCGTGGTTAAAAGCATCTGTGGAAAATGCAGTTGTTAAGTTATGCCAGTACAAATCTGTGTCAATAGTTTGGATATTTAACACTAGATGTTAGCCAGTTAAAATGCTGAACCTGTTGTCATAGCAGTTTAAGTAAAAGCATTGCTTTTGCTGGATATGCTTGTTTTGATTTAAAAGCAAATAGTATTGACAAGTGATCTTCCTTAAACAAGCACTGTTTAATCTAGCTCTGAGGGGCATTTGTGCACAGATAATTCACATTTCTGAAACCATTCCAGTGAATCAAGTCTCCATGCTTGGTAGCTATTTCTGTTAGTATATTTAGCTTGTTATGAGGTTACTTCCTTTTTTATTAGAAGAAGGCTTCTTAATGGGTCCTGTAGAGCACTATGGAGGTGATCTGGCCATAGATGCTAAAGGATATTTTAATACAAAAATAAGTGCTTTTTTTTTTTTTTTTAACAGCTTTTACATGTTTGGTAAGGTTTGTCCTTCTTGGGACAATGTGGAGGTTTCTCACATAAAGTTTTGCAATAGTACCAGAGGAAGAATGTGCTCTATGGTGATATGTATGCATTTCATATTCTGATACTCATTCAAGAATTTGTACTGGAGAAACCCTTAAGGAAAGTAATTTGTTCAAGTAGAGCATATTGGATTAGTTTTAGTAAGTATAAAATGTATTAATCACCTTGTTTTCTGTTGATTATGTAGATGATAATTACTCCTTTGCTAGTTTTACTATGTATATATATTAAAAAAACAACCCAACAATCAAACAACTTGCCTTTGCATGGCATACTCAGTCCTGCAATGTAGAATCCTGTATTGAAAACAAAGCTTGAAACGTTTATCTCTTGGAAACAGAAAGCATTCCTTTGATGTGGTTTTATTTTCATTAACATTACAAAATACAACTATAGTGTGATTGTATTTTAGTGATATTGCTTTTTACTCAAGTAATGCTGTATATTCAAGTGAATGTTAAACTCTAATAGTCTAGACTGTAGTCAAATTTTCATTCCTCTCCACTTCTTGTCCTCTTCGGTTAGCTCACTCATGGCTGACATGTTGGCTGACATATTTTTGAAATAAAAGTGAAACTGGAATTCTGTGCAAAACTACAATGAAGTATGTGTTATTTACATGGAATGAAATTAACAATTCAGGTCTGTTTTTAGAAAAAATTTACATTATTAATTTTGAAGAATAATGATTATCATTGTCTAAAAATTGCAGCATGACATCTGAAGTTGCTGCTTTTTCAATACAAAAATATATTTTATTTCAGTACACTTAATGCATTATGGCATGCACAGAAGGTAGAAACTGCTACTTTTAATCTGCTTCTATTAACTCAATACTGAGAATACAGAATCTAACTGTAAGAACTTATTTGCTTAGTAAACAAGAGATTTTTACTCAAGATAAGAGCCTCAGCTTAGACTGCAAAGAACTTGTCAGTATTGATTGCATTAAGAGATTTCTACCCTAGGTAAACCTAACTGAAAATGAGGATGTGAGAGACTGTTACCTCAGCCATGTGGGTTTTCTGTAGAAATTTCACACATGATGGATTAGATTTAATTCTAGGGGCTGGAAAAACTAGTAAGTTTGCTAACACCAATGATCTTGTTGACAGCAAGTTGGGGGGAGGAGAACTGGATGAGCACTGACACTGTCACCTCATTAGGTGCTTGATACTGTGCTGGGGGATAGGGTCACAGGAACATGTGTGGTGCTGGGGGGCAGGGAGGGATGCAAGTGAAGGAGTGAAAGTAATTAGGAGATTGAGCAGTTGCTTTGAAGACTGCAGATTTTATTGCTATTTGCATAGATTTGACTTCTGTCACTTCAGAATATAAACAGAATATGATTATAGAGAATTGGAGTGTGCTCCTACTGTGGGGCACGGAGCAAGGTCAAAAAGCAGAGTGATTTGAATTGTGCAAATTATACAATAATTTTGAGAAATGCATCATGACAGAACTATCAAAAAACAATAATTGAAGAAAAGAGACCAGGGAAAAGGTCATAACTGTATTCTTAACTGTATGAAGTTGTCAAACAGTAGAATAACTTAATTTTAATGAAGCAATAAGACTTCACAGAGGGTGATGAACAGTCAAGTAAATAATGTCAATTTAATAAGGTTCTAAAGGTTACAGAGCTTGTTGTAAAGCTTGATTTTGCTCATCTCTTTATAGGACATAATGTGTTAGTAATAATGTTGTGTCCTGGAGTATACTATAATGATGTAATGAAATTACAGAATAGGAATTCTATCCTATACAAAAGCAGTTGTGATACCTAAATTTTGTATCTCTTGAGTTAGGAAAAAAAACAAAGGCAAAACGGACATTGAACTGTAAGTTGAAGGAACAGCACACCATAGGTTTTTACTCAGGGGCAGGATGCGGTCCTCTATTCAGCATGTTGAGGCACTGTCAGAATACTGTGCTGTTTAAGGTGAGGAGAGGCCTTCAAGATTTGAATTTTTTTCCAAGTAGGATGATGATGTGAAAGGAAAATTGCGTGAAATGTTAGTAAACAGGTATGTTTGTTTCTTTAACTTACATTTTTTGCCAGTGCTTGAATGTGATTATGTATGTACAATGCCATGTTTCCATACTAATACGTGCATTATTCTGGCTTTGATACTCTGTATAGGAGAATAAACTTCAGTCTGAAGTTAAAGCTCTTTCACCTTCTAATTATCCACATTTTTGGCATAGGCAGCATTTTAGCCTAGAATTAACATTACCCTGTCTGTAGTTTGACACAGTTTTATTTACTTGTTTCTTTCAAGTAAGTATTGTGATATTTCAGTTCTAACTTCTTGTGCCACCTCCAATGTGTTGTCATGTATCTGGAAAAAGGAACATATTTGTTTAGCTTCACTTCAGAGATTCTACATAGAAGACTACAATGAACTCTCCAGTGTTGTCTTCATGTTTAAATGTAATGACATGATTTGGGGTTTATTTAACTCTTATTTGCTGTCAAGAGCATTTGTTCTTGCTGTGTCTTTGAATACTACAGTATACTTTCATATGAAAATGCTTTTTATTTTGATGAGCGATTCAGGTGATTTATATTTTCTGCAGCATGTATGTCCTTCATTTGTTGTGTAGAAGGAAGGGGTGTGTATGCACTATATTTGCATGTTGAAGTCTGGAGTTTAATCAAATGCCACCTATCGGTTTGGGAGGATGAGAATTGGAAAAGGAGACGCAGGAAATATATTTTTGCTCCTAATTTTCCCCCTCAAAAGTAGAAGAGAAAAAAAACCCAACATCCATGTTACCTTGGAAAAATCAATGCGATAGAGAACTGTTGGATCTTTAATACTATTTTTTTTGAATCCAAATGGTTGCAGCTGTACTGAGAGGAAACAAATGTTTTGCTGTCTTTGCTGCCAGATAGAAGATTATATTTGGAACCAGAAGACTAATGAGAAAAAATACAGTTCAGAAACATAATGATTGCAAAGCTTCAGGAATGAGAAAGGAAAACTGAAGTTTGCTTTCCTTACAAACCATATTGGGCTCTAAAAATTTAAGTTATATTTTTTTAATAGAATGGTAATTCATATATAATATTGTTTCTTGATTATTCAATTTTTTGCCATGGCAGTGATCCCAATCTCCATACTTTCTGCTGGCTATAATTTATCTGTTTAACAGTGGTAACCATCTGCTTAGAAAATCAAACTGGGCAGTGGAGTAGGCAGGTTGGGAGTCCTGACCATTGTGGTAGGGATAGCAGGTGCAGTGCCTCTGATGTTTAATGCTGATGAACAACATTTTTTTTATAGAGATATGAAAGTGAATTTTTACTGAGGCACTGCTGTGCAACAGCCCCAGATGGGGCACGAGAGTCTGAATTACATGAGGATTTTGGTAGCTCAAATACTGTGCTCTTCATTAACAGGCTTTCTCCCTACCACAGCTTGCAGGATTTTCAGCAAACCTATTTGGCTGAAATTGTAGGTTTTGGCAAATTCCAAAATGAAATTACTGAACTTCACTAACTGGGCAGAGGTAACAGTATTTGGTCTTTGTGAGAGCAGTGACAGGCATATTGGTATAGGTGAGAGTTCAGGTTTTAGAATCCTGCTGGAAATTTCTAAAATAAAAATGAGGTCTGTTTCATGCATAGTTACCACATTAAGTAGACTTCACTTATGTGCTCTCAGATGATTTAAATGTCACAGGATGCGCAGAAACCTGGAGCTACAGAATTGGCTTTTTAGGTAAATCTGTAAGAGGTCTGTAAGGTGAATGCATAGACCAGACATTTAGATGGACAGATAGCAAAGTTTTCTTAATTCACACTGAGCACATAGAACAAGCAGTGTGGGCAGCCAGAAGAGAAGGAAGTTGGGTGTGGACTGTACAGAACAGAGAAATGCTGTTCTAGTCTGTCACCAAGGCAGTTCTTGTAGATACGAAGAAAACAATGAATATAAACAGAAAAAGATTAGAAAAACGTAATGGTAAAGGCCTCTAGTTCAGGCACTGGTTTCGCCACCTGTGTTCTTTATGCACTGTTATTGTGAGTCTAATTCTTCCATTAATAAATGTAAATAGTCTGGCAGTAAAGTTAATCATATTCTGGGTATATTTAGAGAAGATATTAGAGGACTTTTTTTTTTGAGAACAAATGAATATCAATAATTTCATTCATATATTAAAATTTAGGGCTTTTAAACTATTAATCTACATTAAATAATTGTCCAGTTGATTAG